GGTTTGTGGTTGGATCGAAGGCCGGCCCTGCCACAAGGCCCAACGAGGCAGCAGCCCTCAGGCGGCAGGCGCTGGGCGGTGGCAGCGAAGGGCAGCTGGAGAGCCCAGTGTGCCCTGGGGCCGGCCTGGGCCCCCAGGCGAGTCTGCGGGCTCCAGGAGCAGTGGGGGGCTCTGCCCCATCACCGGCACTGCAGAAAGATTCCACTGCCGGTCCAGCTGGCTTGGGTGCACGAATGAGGCTGTGGCACCATCTTTCACCCCAGAAAGTCAAATATCTCCCCTCCCCCCCCCCACCCGCCTGGGCCTTGTCTCCTGCTTATGATCAGGAACGCTGAGCTAATGGTTTGAATTCTACATGGTTATTGAACATGTGCATATGGCCCTCCCAACACACACGTATCCCTAAATTAAAATGCTTCTTGAAGTAAAATAAGATGAAGCACAGGAATTAAGTGCATTTCAGCTGCCCGCTTTGAGACTCTTCTTCAGTTGCATTCAGCTACTGCTGCTGCATCTTGGAAGGGGTACCTCTTCTGTCCACCTGCCTCTCTATTTCCAAGACTTCGACCCTGACCCACAACCCAGAAAGAATCCCAGAGTGGCTTACAATCAATCAGCAATTACCAAAAGGGGCAAGGAGAAGGGGCTAGGAAGGAAAGATCTTAATAGCTTTGATGATCCAGGAAGGGTCGTCCATTGCTTTTCTGTCTGTTGGCCCATAGAACAAAACCAGCACCCCCCCCCCACAAATAAAAAGGCTGACAATTGAACAAGATATATTGCAATCCATTAAAACAAAAATTACCCAAGCCATGAGAATGACCTGCCCGCATCGGTCTGTTGTGAAATTTAACGCATCAAATTTGGAGGCCAACACTCCATAGTGGTCTTGGGTGACCAAGACATGGAACCAGAATCTAAGAGTAAGTCTGGATTTGGCCTAAAGGTCTGAGGACATGCAGGGGCAGGGGCCAGCCCAAAGCATCCCTCTTCTGAAATAAAACCTGATTCCAGTGGGCCTTATTTCCTATTAAGCGTGTGCACAGAGGAGTTAGGGATAAATGACAAACTCATTTCCATTTATTTCTGAGTTTACCTATTTCATGCCCTCTGGACCAACACATATTTTCAAACACAATCTAGGGTTGAACTTCACACATTTCTGAGCCTGCAGTGCAGTCCACAAGACCAAGAAACAACCAAGAAAGAAAGAAACATTAAGAAGTTTGACAGCAAGTGCTCATTTGAAACACGTGCACAAAAAAACCATGCTTTTGAAAAGTGCTCACAAACCTGATTTAATTAATGGAAGAAGAATCCATCCGTCTCAAGGATGCACACAGCTGAGGTGGACACTTGGGGCGAGGGAGGAAGGAAAGGCTGCAATACGAGATGGACATGAGTCGAGATGAGCTTCAAGGTGGATTTTGGACCAGTCTGAATTCGAGCTTCATTTGCATGCCTAGGGCTGGAGCGGAGTCTTTTTAGATACATCTGCACAGAAGTCCAGCAGGTTACATGGCTCACACTTAAGTCCCATGAAAGGACGGCGCTTCTATTCAGGGGTGCCTTGAATCCAGGCCCCTGAACCCCTGGATCCCAGTCGGAAGCTTTCTTCTGCCCCGGCCGACAGTCAGCGCCCCGCGGCACTGTCGTTTCAAAGGATGGGGAGCAATCCAATTTGGGGGTGAGAATCTGGGGATTCCCTGAGCTCAGTTCTCCAGACTCTGGTCTGCTTTGCAGCAGGTGTGGAAGAAGGACGGACTCCCGCCAGGGGGCCTGGTGCATCCCTCCCAGCCCCCCTTTTCCACATTCTGCAGCTGCTTCCGATGGGAAGGTCGCTGGTTGCACATCTGGGGATTGTGGATTTCCCCTTGGCTTGGCTTATTTTCAGGGCTGGGCCAAGCGCGATTCGATGTCCACAGGTGCTCTAGAGACGGATTCCAAAGGTTTGTCCCAGCCCCCCTGGTTATTTCAATTCTCACCCTCAGCTAGCGCCTATTTCCATACTCTTTAAAGGGTGAGGACGGGGCCACATCTCTCAAAGAAAGGTGATCAGGAAAATTGGAGGGTCCAAACTAAAATTGCATGGTTTATTCATTGTTGGTGGCTTCTCCCCTTACAAGATGAGCTGTTTCTTCACGGCTGGCCTACCCGCATGACTAACAACAACATGTGTGCTTATGGCGAACCGCAACATCTCAGAGATGTTCCCAAAGCTCGCCTTCAGTGACTCACACACTCGTGATGGGGAATTGGGTGCTGCATTTTGCAGAGGCTTCAAGACCAGCCCTGCGCAAGGGGCTTCTTCACACAGTTTTTGCTATTGAAAAAAATACGATCTGCGTTCAGGCTGGAAAAATGAGAAACAGACCAGGCATCCCAGCTGGTGGTCCCACAAGCCGAGTGCTCTTGTAAGCTGCAAGAGTACATCAGTTCCGTTATAGCATGCAAAATCTCATCTTTTATAGCCGTATAATTAGTCCCACACAGGTCTTCCACCTCTGCTGTGAAATAATTGGATTGCTTTGAAGAGTTATCTCGAAATAGAGAGATCATTTTCATTTTGCTGGGTATTAACAGAATTTCCGCTCCCCCGCATCTTATTTTGTGAAATTAATTTTGCCAGCTGTAAAACTAAAGCATCTTTTAAGACGGCGACTGGTTTGGGAACGGAGAGCACGGGGCCATCTGCAGGAAGGTCTCACGGCTTTCTTTGCACAATAATGGCACCTGTGCAGAAGGATAAAATTGCTTTCGGCTCCAGGGTGCATTTGTTTGAAGGCATTTCGGCTGCGACGTGATTTTTCCCCGTGGCGTCCGACAAAAGATGGCACAGCAGCCCTGAAATGGGGGCACCTGCCCTCTGTCTTAATCCCCCAACTTGGTCTTCATAACCTGGACAAAATACATGGGTAGCACTGTGTGCCCGAAGCTGTAGGGTCGCCATGCAGCGCCCCCATCTGGCGAGCCTTTGAACTGCAGAGGGCAGCCTTCCTGGAGAAGGCTCTCCCAGATGCTTCACCAGGCCCTGGACCGATCCCCGCGTCCTCCTGGACAGGGAGGAGAGCCAGAGAGCTTCCAGTCCCAGCTGCTCAGACCAAAAGCCCTTCCAGAACAGGGACACGCTCTGCCAGAGATGCCAGAGAAATCTGCCGTGTACCCAAAGGAGTCCACCCTTCTCCAGCTCTGCACCGCAGGCAACTGACTTTCCCAAGTCGCATGGAATCCACATACTTGCAACCCATTTTGGAAATGCTGCATCTTCTTCATTGCCCCAGGAGTCCACCTGTGGGGTTTACCCCCATGAATCCCTCCTATAAAGCTCAGAAGAAAAACTGCAATGGATAAGGGACCCCATGGACACAGGACTCAGCTTCCTTCGTTGCCCTCAGGGCCTGCTCGGGGGGAGGGGGGGTCCTGCAGGCATCGGCTCGGCTGCAGTGAGAACCAGGATGTGAGCATAGCTGGCCCTTTGCTCTGGTCAGCAGTGCTCCTGATCTCAGCCAGTGGGCAAGGAAGCCCCCAGCGGTTCTGCACCTAACTGGTGCGTGAGCAAGGCGGAAAGCCATCTGTGCTCCACTTCTCCTGGGAGACCACACTGCAGGTCCCCCTGTCTCCACGCAGGAGGAAATAACAGTCACAAACCCAACCCAGCAAGGAGCTGGTTCTGGTGACATTGGAGGCAGCATTTAATGGACTGCAAGCAGCTCGGGGGAAGGGGACCCAAACCCTGATTCTGGTAGCACAACGGGGGACGGTGCCATTTCGGGCAGAATCTGGGCGAGCTGGAGAGGAAAGGGTGCTTAACCCTTTCCCCACCAGTGGTTCTTCCCTGGGTTGGAGCCCCCCTGGCATCCAGCCACTCCTGTCCCAGGGGAGCCAGACACACAAGGCTAGCTTGTGTCCGGAGTGCCGCATGGAGGGGGAAGGTGATCTAGAAGAACTGGGAGGGTGGAGAAAAGTCAAGATTTGCAGCTGTGATCTAAAGGCCCTCCCGCTTTCCAAAGTGCACCAGAAAAATACAGAGGATACAATCAAAATACAGCTGCATTTAAACATGGTGGAAAGTCCCAGTGTGCAAATTTAAAACTGCTTAAAAAACTAATTTACAAACAAATAAAACAGTTTAGGATCTACGGCATTTTCACTGAAAGCTAGACTTAATGAAAACAGCAGACATAACTGTTCATATGACATTAACTGCCATTAATTGACTGGGAGAAGAGGGCAGTTTTAGCCAAAAGGAAGACAATGTTGGTGCCAGGCAGGCTGCAGCGGGGAGACCGTTCCACATTCGGGGGCCACCACCGAAAAGACCCTCCTCCTGGTTGCAGTTGGAGGAAGGCCCCCCACGCGGATCACAGGGTCTGGGTGGATGGTGCTCAGGAGGGGCGGTGAATCATATGCTGAGGCCCTGATCCACATAGGGCTTCCTAGGTCAAAACCAGCACCCGGCTCAGAGGTGCGTAGGCAGCCAATGCAAGCAGGCCAGCATTGGTGTGATGCGCTTGGACCCTTGGCTCCCGGGTTTTAATCTGGCCGGCTCATTCTGCACAAGCGGCAGCTTCCAAACAGTCTTCCAGGGCAGCCCAACAGGTGGTGTACGCTGTAGACTAGCCATTGTGTCCTGCCCAGGAGCCCTCAGAAACACGGCGGGGGGCGGGGGCTGTGTCCACTGCAGATAACCACTCTTCAACCCCGAAAGCTTCCTGCAATCTACCCCCTCAAGGCCCCAGGCAGTGAGAAAGAGGGGCAGGAGGTGCCCTGGGGCCTTTCAAGCTAGCAATGATGAGGAAGAGGAGGAGAACAGGCAGCAGGGAGGGAGGGGCCTCCTGGGGGGTGTCTTGCCCAAACCTAAAAGTGGGTGCTGCCTCTGCCTGGAAGGCCATCGCTAGCTCTTGCAGAGATCCAGTGCTTGCGGCGAGGTGGGCGATGCGCGGATGGGATGCAGGCCTGGGCCAAACGTTCTCTCTCTCTGCTTTTCCCCTGCTTTGCAGCTCAAGCCCCAGAAGAGAAGAAGGAAGAGGTGCCCACAGTGTCCAAGAAGGTGGATGCCCAGAAGAAGAAAGAGGGCCCCAAGGACTCCAAGAAGAAGAAGGAGGGGGGGAAACCAGGCAAGGAGGGCTCCCAGAAGGAAGGCAAGGAGGGCAACAAGAAGAAGCAAAGCGAGACCACGAAAGGGGCTGAGACGCAGCCCGAAGGGAAGAAAAAGGGGCCAGAGGGAAGTGGCGGCAAGGAGAAGCCCAAGGGCAGCCCCACGGCGGGCGGGAAAGGCGGTGGGAACCCCAAGCCTCCCGCCAAGAAGCCCCCGCAGAAGAAGTGAGATGAAACGGAGTAGAACTGCTCCACTGCAGAAGGAAGGAAAAGAGCAGACCTTGCACAAAGGAGACCAGCAAATGAGATTTCCACGAGGCCTTGGAACCCTAGTTCTCTATCTATCGAACTGATCGCTGTGCAAAACATAAACGGGGGTGGACGGCACCGTGTCTGAGCTTCCCCCCAAAGGACTGAGCTGGAAACGTCACCTCTTTTCTCCACGCTTACTGCAAGTTAGTGCCTTCTGATTTAATGAGAAGCCTGAACTCACAGGCATCATCTGTGATGCGACTGAGGTGGAGATTGCTCTGGCGACAGTGAAGAAAAGGTACTCTGTACATGCCCAGACATGGCCTCCCTGTGAGTGGCACCTCTCTTTTCCCAGCATGGAAAATAGAGAGCGTGGATGAGTTTCCAGAACGTCGGCCATTCGGGAGTGAGAGCAATGGCGTCGAAGCTCCTGCAGCCCTGGGGCCGCAGCCTGTTCCCAGCATCCAGTGGTGGGCGGGGCCAAAGGCAAAAGAGGAGGGGCCCCAGATACCAGCCTATTAGCCCGAACTGCCAGCATTTTAGCCCTAAGGGGGGAATTTTAGTCTTTTAAAACCAGGGAGAAAAGCAAAAGCTGGAAACATAGAAACATAGAAGCAAAGCGGGTCAGAAGGGACCTCCCGGGCCATCTAGTCTGACCCCCGGCTCCGGCCAGCTCCACACATGACATGCCTATCATGTGCATGTCCAGCCTATCCTTGAATGCCCTCATTGAGGGGCCTCAACCACCTCCCATGGAAGCCCATTCCACACCCTCGGGGTCCTGACTGTCAGGAAGTGCTTCCTGGCATCCAAACTGAACTTTGGCTCCCTGAGCTTGGCTCCTTTGGAGCGCGTCCTGCCTTTCTTTGCAGGAGAAATCAGGTCTCTACCCACCTCCGTGTGACACCCCCTCACATACCTGTATGTCGCCAACAGATCCCCTCTGAGTCTCCTATTCTCCAGGCTGAAGGGGCCCAGCTCCCTCAGTCTAGCCTCATACGGCATCCCCTGCAAACCGGCCACCAACCCTCTGGCCCTGTGCTGCACTGACTCCAACCTGGCTAGATCCATCCTGTAATGAGGGGCCCAAAACTGAGCACAATACTCCAGTTGCAGGCACACCAGAGTTGTATAGAGTGGTAGTAATACCTCTCTCGATCTAGAAGCCACGCTTCTGGCTATGCAACCAAGGGTGGCGTTCGCTCTCTTGACCACCGCATCACATGGCTGGTTCATGTTCAGCCTGCAGTCGACCAGCACCCCGAGGTCCCTTTCACAAGTGCTACTCTCCAGCCACTTGTCCCCTAACCTGTACTTATGACCCCCATTCCTGTGCCCCAAGTGCAAGATCTTGCACTTCTCCACATGGAACGCCATCCTGTTGTCTCCTGCCCACTTCCATAGTCTGGCCAGATCCTTCTGGATCCGGAGCGCCTGCTCCTCAGTTGTGGCCACTGTCCCCGTTTTAGCATCGTTTGTGAATTTGATCAGCAGACGGGTCACCCCTTCTTCCATGTCATTGATGAAAAGATCGAACGCACCCAAGAACCGGTATTCTGCAGGAAGGGAGCACAGGCTTCCAGGGAAACCCAGCAGGCATGTTTGGGGCTCCGGACGGCACTTCGGTCAGACGCCCTGGGGCGAGCAGAATACCCTTGGAGGGTGCAAAAGCCTGGCGGAGCATTGCAGCGGGTCCCCACCACCATTAAAAGCGGTGCATGGGTCAAATCGCCACCTTGCCCACGGCCTTCACCCCTCCTAAATCTCACCCAGGTTCAGACAACCTGCTGGGAGCGGTAGACCCTTCTTTCCTTCTCCTTTTCCTGCTGTTGGTCTAAACTTGCATTACGATTGCACATTTAATTAATTCTTTGGTGAGGAAAAGCACTCCTTGGAATATAAGTTCTTAAAGGGAAAATGGTCAAGCAGCAAGACACCCTTTGTGTGTTTATTCTGGCATCGACACCTCCGCTTTCTACACTCAATTAAAATTGGACTCGACTAACAAACCATTGAATCGTGAAGCTTAGGGGCGGGGGGCTTGAAAAGCCCTGTTCTTGCTCACAAAACACGGGCGGGGGGGGGGCACACAGGGCGAAGTTCTTTTTTTTTCAAATAAGTTTTATTTGAAATTATAGTCCTAAAAAAACAAAACAAAAAGAAAACTACAAGCAACATCCATCATCAAAAACATCGAGCCCACTGGGTCAGCCCCCACACCCTTCTTTTTCCATTTATGATAACTTAAAAACATATTTAAATCTAAGTCAAGTCCCATTTCTCTAGCCAATAATAAAAAGAGTCCCAAGTTTGATAGAAGTCAGTATCTTCTTTCTCCTTCAGTGATAAAGTCAGTCTATCCATTTCTGCACAGTGCAGAATCCGAAGTTCTTTTTTGCATGGCAGTTTCGGAATGCAATTTCATCTCATCTCCTGGTCACTCCAGAAGGTATTGGCAGCACAGGCTCATCTCCAAGGCCTTTGTGCGCGATGATGTCCAGAGCTTTAAAAGCCACGCACAGCAAAAGGGTGTCTTAACCATCAGTTAGACTTGGGAGATAGACGGAAGTCACCTCTAGCCTGCCCCTGCCGGAAATGGCAGCCTCGAAATGTTTGGCACACCCCTGATCCAAAGAATTAAAGAGCTTGAGCTGTTTAGCTTTAATTCATCTCACGCAGAACTTGGGCTTTATATCACGAGAAATTAAAACTGCATCCCGAAAGGGGCACTCTCACACTCGCTGCCTGTTGTCTTGCATCCTCTTCCAGAAGGAGCGGCTTCTTGAAGAAATGCCCCAGATTACCCCGGGAACCAGGGTTGCCTAGTGGTTAGAGTACTGGACTGGGCTTTGGGAGATCTGGGTTCTGATCCCCACTCAGCCATGGCACCACCTGGGTGCCTTTGGGCCAGTCCCTGACTCTCAGCCTGACCTACCTCACAGGGCTGTTTTGAGAAGATGGAGAGGAGGAAAAGAATTATGAATACCTTGATTTCCTTGGAGGAATAGAGATGAATGAAAGAATGCAAGAAATAAACTGGTAAATTATGCAAATGTGGATTATTGAGAAGGAATGAAGATGCCCTCCTTACTCCTGTTATTTTTACAAGATGCACCTTTATGCAAACAGGCTTGACCGACCAGCCCTCAAAAAGCCACAAGTCCTGTTGCCGTTTCATCGATGCTTGGAGGAAACTCTTGGCATCCATCCCTCTCAGTTGGGGGACCTTCTCTGGTGCTCAGCCCTGTCTCGGGAATTGAGCCTAGGGAGAGGAAGTCCCAAACCCAAAGCAAAGGCCACGCACCCGGCACAGTTTGTCTGCATCACACGCGGCAGCGCCAGCAAGGACGAGGGTGCTGTGTGTGCAGCAGCTGCATGGCGCTTGATTCCTGGCAAGTGCCACACGGACGCTGTGAGTCCAACTCCCATGTGCCACACAAGAATTGTGGCACATGGAGGCCGGACTCGCAGCTGCAACAAAGTATGTGTTGGGAAGCTGGTTTCTTCAAGCATGTGCAAAGCCCCCAGGTTACAACAACCACAATCACCACCCTAGATTTGCCGTGTCTTTCGCAGCTTGCAAAACTGCTCCCAACATCATAAAAAAGCGGGGAAAAGTCTGCAGAGGGAGCCTTTCCAAAGCCTCGAGTTGCTCTCGCAGCCACAACGGGCATCCTCGGGAGGTCATGTGGCTCGCTTCCGCCAAGGTGGCGTGGCGTTCCTGGCCTGCCTTGCTGATGCCAAACTTCCCGTAAAATTTCTGCAAGAGCCAATCCGCTCGGAGGCTTGGAGGAGCGCCAAGGACTTTCAGAAGACTCGGTCAATACTCCAGGTCTCTGTGCCGATCAATACTCTGTGAGAGCTCTTGGTGATCACGGCGGCTGGCGACAGGTTTGGGGGTGCTTCCTAGCGGCTCCGGGCAAGCCACTGAAAGTCTAGCTCAGCAGCAAAGGTCCTGTTTGGCCTGGAAAAGGTCCTTGCAGGTCCCATGCCAGGAATTTCGGAAGCACCTGGGAAAGCTCACCAGGGGCGGTCCCTCGCCCTGGCTCACCCGGCTGTCTTTTCTCTGCCGTAACTCGAACCGTGGGTGTGGAATTGCAACCCAGGAGATGGTGCATGTTTATCGAGGGGGACATTTTACTGCAATCAAAACTAACCCCCCCCCCCGCCCCCCTGATGGCTTTAAAGTGGCGAAAAGCATTCGCTGGGGAAGGTGGAATCCAGTTATGAATATCCTTTCACATCTACACCGTATTTTCTTTCAGTTGCTCTGGATTCTCTCTGCAGGTCTGCAAGTCTCCGCGTTTCCAAAAAGAGTTTCCTTCCTGTGTGATGTAGAAAAGAGGAGATCCACAGGTGATCGTGGGTGTCAAAGACAGAACACCCATTTAAAGTGCGTGTGTATGATCCGTTTGTGCCATTTCCGTGCCGAGATGGCACGAAGCTTTGTTTCAAAGCAACGCTTCTCCTTTGAGGTAATCGAGACCCTGATCTCTGTTAGGCGCTGAGGCGAGTGGGGAGCCCCCCTTTATCTGGAGAGCTTTCAATCAATGCCTTGAGTGAGGCAGCTTTGATATCTTGTGAGATTCCTGCCTTGCTTTTGCAGTGCTCAGATCTGCAAAGCCCTGAAAATCAGGAGCAAGGGAAGAGCAGGACCGAAGTCTGCCTAGCCCAGTGCTCTGCTCATGCAGTAGGAAAACCAGGAGAGGAGTGCAAGAGAACCTCTGGCCCATGTTCCCCAGCAACTGCTGCACACAGGCATGCTGTCGCTGCAACTGGAGGTAACCTAGGACCATCATGAGGACCAGTAACCACAGTAGCCTTCTCCTACAGGAACTGGCCCAACCGCCTTTGAAAGCCACCCAGATTGGTGGCCACAGGGAACCTGCCAGCAAGATATGAGTGCTCTTCCCCTAAGAACACAGGGAAAGCCCTGCCAGATCGGACCCAAGGCCCACACGGTGACAAGCCAGCGGC